GCCCGATTCGCGGGGCATGGTTGGCGCGGCCACATTCTGCACGAGTCTTACGTTCTCTTTCGGAAGGGAGCTTGCGGTTTCTGTAGTGGGCGCGGAAGGCGCGCCGAAGACCCCCCGAAGGTCTTGGGGCAAGAGTGCGAAGCGATCGCACCCGACCGCCTCTCTCTCTCTCTCTTTATCTCTTTGTTTCTCTCTCTCTCTCTTTTTCTCTCTCTCTCTCTCTCTCTCTTTCTGTATCTAAGATTAGGTGTGGTTGTTCTTTTATGTGTATATATATACATACATATATATATATATATATATGTGTATATATATATATCAAAGGCCCAGCAGACTGCCCTTATGAGAACTCGGAAGTGTCTGCCACCGCGAGTCTGAGTCAGCGGCGGGGGTCCGCGGAAAGAGTTTGGTCTTCACTTGTGATCTGTTCTAGTCGCTGGGCTCCCCGCCGTTTGAGGTCCCCTGTTCTTGTCTGTAAGTCCTGGGCAGGCGTCGGATGTTTGCAGACAGGAGAACTATCAAACACAATTCCTTCCCCTCCTCCTGGTCCTCTTCCTCCTCCTCCTCCTCCTCCTCCTCCTCGTCCTCCTCATCCTGTTCCTTTTTCTGCTATTCATCTCCCTCCTCCTCCTGCTCTTCCCCTCCTCCTTCTCCTCCTCTTCCCCCCGTTGTCTCATCTTGCCACGTGGACCTCGTCCACGACATCGACCTCCGCCTCCTTCGTCTCGCCCTCCCTCCTACCCCACACCTCCCCTCCCCGCGCCACCCTCACCCTCCCCAGGCCCCTCTCCCCCTCCTCGCTGCTGCGGTGGGCCACGTCGGCTCCCATATGGTGTGCTCCTGCGATTTCAGCTCCAACTACGGGGGCCCCTCGTTGACCCGCCCGAAAAAAAAAAAAAGGTTAATGAGGGGCTCCCTCGTTCTACTTAATTTCAGGAGCCCTTCTACACTGTTTTTGTTACCCCCTCTGATCCTCAATTGTCGAGGTCCTGAGTGACAATTTGTCCCCCAGTCGTGGCCACGGGCGCGACCCGCGACCCAGGAGGCCGAAAGATGCACAAGGAGTTCGATCTTCAAACATCGACTTCACTCTGGCCCCCCCCCAAATCGTCCCCCCCTGCCCTTGAGTCTCTCCTGGGCCGTCTCCTGGCAGGCCTCCGGAGGGCGGAGCCAGCCTGGGCCACGAGGGCGCCCCACCAGGCCCTTATACCCTCAGAACCTTGTCCTGGGACCTCCTCGCCTCAGCCCCTCCCTTCTCCTCGCTTCCCCGTTGCCTCCCGACGCGTGCTGGGCGGTGCCCTCGATCCCGCCCGACATCGCGTCGGGTGTCAGGGGCGGCACCGCCTCCCCTCCGCGGGGCGTTCCCTCCTCCTCCTCCTCCTCCTCCTCCTCCTTCATCCTTCCTCATCCGTCTCCTCCTCCTTCATCCTTCCTCCTCCTCCTCGTCCTCTTCCTCCTCCTCCTCATCCTCCTCATCCTATCTGCCTGCTCCTCCTCCTCCTCCTCCTCCTCCTGTCTACTTGCTCCTCCTCCTCCTCCTCCTCCTCTTCCTCCTCCTCCTCCTCCTCCTCCTCCTCCTATCTACCTGCTCCTCCTCCTCTTCCTCCTATCTACCTGCTCCTCCCCCCCCCCTCCTCCTCCGCCCCCCTCTTGGTTGCCTCTCTCGGCGCCCGCGCCCCGCTGCCTGGCATGGCCGCGCCCGCCTCGCCGGAGTGCGCGCCCACCTGCAGCATCAGCGTCGTGGCGCCGGCCTCGGCGTCCCGCTCTTTCTCCTCCTCCTCCTCCTCCTCTCCTTCCTCCTCCTCCTCCTCTTCCTCCTCCTCCTTCTCCTCCTCCTTCCGAAGGATCGAGTGCTCGCTCGAAGCCAGGCTGTGCTGTGCCGTACCGATGAGTGGGATAGGGCGAAGACGTCGCCGCCGTCGCCGCCGTCGACCTCGCTGCTCCTGTGCCCCCCCTCGCTGCTCCTGTGCTCCAGTCCCTCGCTGCTCCTGTGCTCCCGCCTCCTTATCCTGCTCTTCCCTCTTCACTCCCCCTTTTCCTCCTCCTCCTGCCCCTCCTCTTCCTCCTCACTCCTGCTCCTCCTCCTCCTCTGACCCCTGCTGCTGCTCCTTCCCCTTCTCACTCCTCTTGCGTATTGCCCCCCTCCCCCTCCTGCTGCTCCTCCGCCTCCCCGCTCCCAATGCACCATGACTCGCTGTATGGGTACCGCTCTCCTTCTCTCCTCCGAAGACGTCCCGAGGGCGGCGCCCCCCCGCCGCGCATCGTCTTTTTACACAGGATTGGTACGAGTAGTTTGAAGTCGGTTCTTGCTTTGATGATTGTGAATTCCTCGCCCTAGATCCGCCTGTAGGAGGGCACGCCCGACCTGAGAGCAGTTGTGCCCTTTACGCGTTTTAGTTCCACTCTGAACGTCCTTGGGCCTTCCGAAACGGTGCCCCCGCTGCAGCGCTGGCAGGAGGCCTCATTTCGGGATCGGCGTTGGGCTCCCGCCTTTCAGACCGGCGCTCTCGCAACAGCACGGGCCACACTTCTGGGATCCGAGCGCTCGAGCGCCTCCTCGTCGCTGTCGCCCACTTCCCAGGAGGGAGAAAAACACACAGACAAAATTAATCGTCGTTCCCCAGGAAATATGGGAAAATAGGGGAAATGGGGGGGAAGACAAAAACCTAGAAAATATTGGAAAATATGGGGAATACTGTTATTTGTGTGTATTTATTTGTGTGTCCCAGGGTCCCTTCAACTTCCTTCCCTTCCCCCGCCTTCCCCTGCTCCCCCGCCCCCCCTGCTCCTGCCACCTTCATGCGGCCCCAATGTTCCCAAACCGTTGCTCGTGTCGCCCGTCAGCTTGCAAAGTGTTTCGCTTGCTTGCTTTGTTCTGGCTGCAGCGCTTCAAGACTGCCCAAGATGCTCCAAGATAACCCCAAGACGACACATTCTCAAAGACTGCCTAAAGAGGGACCCAAGACTGCCCAAGAGGCCCCCATCAGGGCCCCAAGAAGGCGCAAGAGGGACCCGAGAGGGGGAACGTGCCTTCCTGGAGCCTTCCCGGGCGCTTTCCCCCAAAACAGCTGTGGGGTTCGCCCTGCACGCACACCTATTGCGCGAAGTCTTGCTGGACGTCGCCTCCATCAGAAGAGTGTACCGCGTCATCTGTGTAGTACTGTATGTCGTGCAGCATCTGAACGCTTCCCAGCGAGGCACAACATGGCCGAAGGGATCCCCAAGGCCGCGCCCAATACGGGCCTTGACTGACCTTGGCAGCCCTTTGGATGTTCTTCGAGTTGCCCCCCCAGGATTACCAAGGAACCTCCCAAACATATCCAAGCTAGTTCGAGGGGCCCTCGAGACGCCCGGGAAATGTTCAAGTCCACAGGCCACGAGCCACCCGAAGCCTCCCGAAAGTTACCTTCGGGAAGCTGCTCGGTGTATCTGCTCAGAGAAGCAGGATCTCTTAGGGCCTGCTTATTCAGCGACTCCTGAAGCGTCCATCAGGAAGTACGCTCCCGTAGGGTGGTCCTCGCGGGATGGTGTCCATCTTCATCCGATCCTGTGAGGTTGGATTAGTTAGATTGGCCTCGAATCTAAGCGCGCGCGGAGCGCGCGGGTGGTTCTATTCTGATGCAGTGGTGTTGACAGCGACGACGAATTATGATGAACATCATGCTGACGACGACGATGACGATGACGACGGTGATGACGATGACGAAGACGATGACGATAGCGGTGTTGTCGTTGCTGATGTTGATGATGATGATGCTGATGGTGATGGTGATGATGATGATGTTGATGGTGATGGTGATGGCGATGGCGATGGTGATGGTGATGCTGATAATGGTGGGGACAAGCCCTTTGTTTTGGTGCCCATGTCCCAGGCCTCCGACGTCATGATTTTTTCATGACGTCGACCCCCAGAGGTCTGGACCCATTCCCCGGGACTGGTTTCTCACCCTGATTTGTTCTGTTGACGCTCCCGAGGCCCGGTGAGGGCCTCCAGAGGCCGAACATGGCGAAAAACTGTCCGTCATGATTTTGTCACGACTCGAGGGGGTGCGGGTTCCAAGCTTCCAGCTGTGGGCAGTGGGCCCGCTCACGAGCCCCAGGTGCCGGCCCTCAACGAGGAGCAGGGGCTCACGGGCACGCTGGCGGCCATCTGGCGGCAGGGGCCTCGCCCATGCGAGGTGGTGGTCGTCGACGGCGGCTCCTCGCGGGGGGGACGGGGCGGGGCCTCCCCAGGCGCAGGCGCCCGCTGTCGTGTTCTTCCTCCTGCTCGGGCGCCTGCTCCTCCTCCTCCTCCGCCCTGTTTCTCCTCCTCCTTCTCCTCCTCCTTCTCCTCCTGCTCCTCCGCCCTGTTTCTCCCCCTTTTCCTCCTTATCCTCCTCCTCCTCCTCCTCCTCCTCCTCGTCCTCCGCCCTGTTTCTTCTCCACCTCCTTCTCCTCCTCGTCCTCCTATTCCTCATCTTCTCCTCCTCCTCCTCCTCCGCCTGTCCTCCGGTCTGGGCAGGGCTGGCATGTGCCTCCTTGGTCCCACTCATCCTCTTCCCCCTCATTGTCCCCATCCTGACTCGTCATCTCTCGTCGCGGTTCTCCTGCTCCTCCCTCCTCCTCCTCCTCCTCCTCCTCCTCCTCCTCGTCCCATGTCGGAAGACCAGGTCCTCAGGGCGCTCAGGATCACGGACTCCAGGGCCGAGCTCTTGATTCGACGGTTACGACAGTGGCAGCGCTTCGTTCGTTACCCGTCCGACTGCGCACAGGCGCTGACCATGGTGTTCGGCTCACTGGAAGGATTTGAGGAGCCTTCCACTTTCACGGATTCTGGCATGATTGCCAAGGACGCGAATCGTTGGGCCCGCCAGTTTGAGCAGGACTTGGATGCGCTCCAGTATCTTCGTGGTGGCCCCGAGTTTTTGGCTGCCTACAGTGTGCTAGACATTCTCACGCTCCTCGAAATAAAAAAGGACTTCGTCCGCTTCGACGTCACAAAATTGAGACAGATCCCCCAGGTTCGGAGTGCCACGAGATCTGCACAAGGTTCCCTTCACGGAGCCCACGAAGAGCCCCTACAGGAACACGTTTCTTATCTTCCAGGTGATGGTGAGGGATGGGAGGTGTGGGCGAGTGTTCTACAGTAGAGGGGCCCTTATTGCACATCCATGTCACATCCTACCCATAATATGCGGGTCCCGTCCCACATGCTAGTCATCACTAACCAGTGCCCCTACTGCATGAGCACCTTTCGGGGCCAGGTCACAGCCCGCAGCCAGAGATCGCGCCCTCAGATCTCGCAGCGGAGACCGCGGCCGACCGATTCGCAGGGGAGGGGGAGAGCCACCACTACGTGGGGCACCAGCCGCGGGAGCCGCGGCATAGGGCGTCCTCAGCCCGCAGCAGGCCGCGCGCGCGGCAGAGAATCAGAGGCGGACCTCGAGGCACACATTATGGAGGCGTGGCATGCAGAACTACAAGACGAGAAGGAACCCCAGTATAATAATTTTACACTGCGCCCATACAAATGATCCCTGATAGCAGCGCGCTGGTCTGAACTGTTGACGAACGGCAAGGGCGCTTGCCTACGCGGGGTAAACCAGAGAGTATCAACACAACCGGGGCAGATCATGTCCTGCTGCGCTCCACGGACGACGGTGACAGTAATGGACTATACTCCGAGGAACACGGACAGTATGTGGAGCTCTATTCTACGGCAGTGATACCGAAGGTAATCTTATAAGAACAAAAAACATTGGCTGGTCGTTTGACCACGATGCGAGTATCTGTGACCGCTGCAGCTAAATGGGATGCGGTCGCCAAGGAGGGTGACCTTCTCGCGAAAGCAGATATCCTGGTGAACCCAGTCAAGATGCCACTGGCACTATATACTGGGCTCAAGACATGGTCTGACAACAAGGCGTCAAACATCATGACTTCGAGGTACGTATACACATGGAAATTCGTTAAGAATGATGAGGGCGAAATGAAGCGCACCATCAGGTTACGCCCGCTACTTCGGGACTTCATGGACCGAGGCCTTTGGTGCAGAAGCCTCACCAGGAACAGCGCGGCGGCCAAAACCGCGATGACTCGCCAGCGCGGCAGCGTGCAGGAAGCAGTGGACCATTGCTTCCCTTGGTTTCAACATGACCTTCTTGAGTGTGGCTCACGCATCAAGTGCTCGCTGAAGCGCTCGGTGGAAAGGAGCGCGTGGCGTCCTTTACCTTGCCGCCCGGGTCAGCATCTGCGCTCAGATCGCCCGCGAGCGCTATGGCGAGTCAAGACATTGTCTACAGTGCCGTAAACCAGGCACAGGCACCAACGATACGCCAAGAGCCATCTCACTGAAATTCAGGGCGACCACGAGAGGCTTTCGATTCAGACCCACGTCTTACGACTAGGAGTTCGAGTCGAGCACCTACCTTCTCACCGCCAAGCATGTTGATGCTAGAAACATTGCCAGCGCTGATGACACCCGTGACACATGCGTCAAGTGTGTTGAGGCTACATCTGGGCAGTGTAAACACAACGGACATAATATGTGAGTTATGGTAAGGATAGCGACGGCAATGCCACTCTTGGCCGAGACGAATATATATATATATATATACATAGCATCTCTTTCCTGTCCAGCACCACGAACTCACGGGCGCAGATGCTGAGGCTAAGGCGTCGAAGATGGTCACTTATATGTTTGTCAGCCTCACAGGCACTTTATCACACATGGTACTCCGGGGCAAACCTGCTAAGGCTTGGGCCCACGCATGTTGGTAAACCTGCCTGCCATCTTGTCGACGCGCACTGCAAGTCTCACCGCTTGCAGGCCAGCTCTAGCTATTCGGCTGAAGCGCTAGCAGCAGCCCGCTGCTATCCCACGGCTGTCACGCTACACGAACTCCACACAGGGACGCTGACACCCATTCAATTGAAGACTATGATTGAGATTGGTGGCCTCAGCATTAAGGTCACCCTGACCACTGATGCGGAATATGTCTTCAAGTCTTTGTCAAGCATAGACCTGAAGAATCCGACTGAGTGCAGTTGGGTGCGGCAGATGATGGACCGCGGTAGTGCGCATAGCGCGCAGTGGTGCGACGCCCGCGACATGACTGCATATTGTCACGCCGAGGGGAGCATTGACCGAGATGTTCTCTTAAAGTTTATGGGGGAAGCGCTTCTATCAGGCATGATTTGAAGCGACATACTTCCTACAGGGCCGGCCAGACGAGAACATCTGAGCCGCCCGGGGAGCAACGAGCAGCGGGGTAACCCTGCTGAGGTTTGAGCCAGGCGGTTGCTGCCTTTCCTTTGTAATCTAATTTTTTTTTTTTTTTTTCAGAATCAGGCCGGACGCGGAATCGCGCTTCGTTTCCCCCCCCCCCGTTTCTAAAGGAGCAGGAACAAAGACGAGAATGATCGAGCGTGTGTCCGCGGCCGCTTGGGTTCAAGCGACCAGCCGCCGATATGTTTGCGCCGCTCTTCGGTGCACTACCAGACATCGATACGGAAAACAATTTTTTGAGATGCCATATTGCCGCTGACGCGGCCATGTTCTATCTCTTGCTCTATCGCTACTACGACGCAACAGGGCTAGTCGGAAGCTATGCCTAAGGCGTGGTATTTGATTGGGCCTACACCTCACTTTAAGCTTATTGGGCCATATCAAACCCGAAAGCTTACAGAAAACTGACAGACATGGCCCCCTCGTACTCTCCAGGAAAGCCCCTTGGAGCTCTTTTGGGCCGTCTTGAGTGCCTCTTGGACCGTCTTGACGCCCTCTTGGAGGCCTCTTGGGCCGTCATGCGGCTGTCTTGAAAGGCTCTTGAGTTTTTTTTTTGTGTGTTTTCTTTTTTTTTTTCCATTTTGAGCCGTTTTGTTGTTGTTTCCGTTGTCTTGGTGGTCGTTTTGGAAGCCACTTTTGGCCGTCTGGGGGCCGAAAAGCGCGCCGGAGAGCAATTAGGGGGGCAATGTTATTACCACCTCGTGCGATGCAAGGGGGGGTGTCGTCAGCCCCTGGTTTTTCAACATGAGAACGAAAAAGAAAACACCCCCTGAGGTACCACAGGAGCATTCAAACTCCCACTCCGTGTAGGCACGGTGGCGTATTTTTGTTCAATTCCCGTCGCCTAGAGAACCTGCCGGAGAATCGTCTGCTATACTTTGTCTTGTGGCGTCGTTTCTGCGAGGCCCCATGGGACAGGGCCTAGATACCTCAGTGTATATACGCGCGGTTCCCAGATTCACCCGCAACTTTGTTTCGGATGCAACTCCTGCGAGGTAATATTATGATTTTGCCCTGGTCCGAAATCCGGCTTAATCCCCGCTGAATCCCGCTTCATCCGGTGTGGATCCCATTCTATTTGGCTGAATCCCGTTCGATCCGCGGCCGAATCCGGCGTAGCAGCCCCCCCTCCATGGGGCTTGATTCTCCCTTGTCTTTCCGACGAAGACCTCCCAGCAGTCGCCTCATACCCCGCTGTCGACGTGCTCACCCCGCAGACGTCCCTGCACGGTTTCCCCCGGGGCCGTTGGCGACCCGCGGAGGAGGAGGAGGAGGAGGAGGAGGAGGAGGAGGAGGAGGAGGTGGAGGAGGAGGAGGAGGGAGGAGGAGGAGGAGGAGGAGGAGGAGGAGGAGGAGAGGAGGAGGAGGGGGGAGGGAGAAAGAGGAGGAGAGGAGGAGGAGGAGGAGGGGAGGATGGATGAGGAGGAGGAGGAGGAGGAGGAAGAGGAGGAGGAGGAGGAGGAGGCAGGAGGGAGGAGGGAGGACGAGGACAGGCCGCCTAATTCCGCTGGAGAAACCCTCCAGACGTCCCCTGCAGGCTCCGTCGACGCGACAGTGGCGGCGGCGGAGGCGGCGGGCGCGCGCGCGGTGCGAGGGCCGCGGGGCCGGGCCAGGCCGCGCGGTGCTGGGAGCAGGAGGAGGGGGGTGGCCATGGCGGCTCTTCACCTTTCCTGTGCCTCCCTGTTTTCCTCACTCCCTCTCCTCTGCCCTCCGTCCCTCCTCCTCCATCTTCCTCCTCTTTTTTCCCTCTCCTCTTCCCTCCTTCTCTCCCTCATCTTCCCTCCTCCTCCTCCTCCTCCTCCTCCTCCTCCATCCCTTCTCCTCAGGAGTAGCTCCTCCTCCTCCTCGCCGACCCCCCCCCCCAGACGTGTCCGCAGGGCGGGCTGGGCGCTCGGCCTGTGGCCTCATCACCGTTGATGATCCTGACGCTTCTGAGCGTTGCAGCAGCTTCAAGGATGAACGGCGGGTGGTTTTCAAAATGTGTCTCTCGTCCTACCTCGAAGAAGAACAAACACTTAAGCATAAACTTTTGGGGCTCCGCGCGGATTTCTTGGATCCGCGCTGGCCCCCCCCCCCCACCACCCCTGCGGCGCCTCCGGCGCCGCCCCTGGCGCGTTCCGCGCGCCAGGGATGGGGGTCCGGCGCGGATCCAAGAAATCCGCCCGGAGCGCCAAAAGTTTATGTGTATGTGGTTAATTATTATTCTATGAGCGCCGCGCGCAGTGGTCTTGTATGTTCGTAACAGCATCAGAGATGGAGAGCATGTCGTTTTTAACCCGTGTCTCTCGCGTGAGCGCCTCGCACGTTCGTCTTAACAGCTTGCAGCAGCTTTCCTCGCGACTTCTTGTGCTGAAGTGCGATGTACCCAAGAGTTTCACCGACAGAGTGCGGGCCGTTTTAAGATCCTGGATCTCGCCCCAGCGTGGCGCACATCTGTCCTAGAGGTGCCCAACACCTTCACAGGTGCAGGGCAGGTAGTTTACAACATTAATTTCTCGGTGTAGCGCCGCACATCCGCAATTCCATCACGTTCTGCAACAGTTGAACCAGTGGCATTCTGTTTCAAATGAGGTTTTCGCTGGAGACTTTTACACATTCCGGATCGTAATATGCGCTCGGATGGAGGGTTGTTTTTTGTCAGCACAGAGATTTTGTTTGACACTTGTTTGAATACCATGCCCCTTGATGCATTTGATAATTGTGAGGAAGGTGCAGGGCGACTCCTTGTCAGCATTGAAACGGCACTTGTATGGCACTCCTATGGTACGCTCGTCGTGTAAAGGGATGGTTGCATGGTATTCCCATGCAGTCCGTCGTCCACGACATAGGAGGCACGATGGCGCTCGATATGTGCTGTAGCATATGCTGCCCTGCTCGCACGCTGTGCATTACCCAGATCTCCTGACGTGGTTTGCTCCAGTCTGAAGTGTTCAGCACTGTTTTCTCTTAGCGTAGCGTCTGCTTTGTTCAGGCTCTCTTCGGTGATACCCCGCGTACTGATTCTGGCTATGATTCTTTAAGGGAGCGCTCCACGTGCAGTCGGACCGAGATAAAGGATCGAGGTCGGTTCGGGGAGGGTGCCCAAAGGTTCGTCGTGCCTGTTGGATGTTCTCGTGCACGCTGGGAGAGGCTACCCTCGAGTTGACCTCAGGCTGGGCCTGCGGAGGCTTCCATGCTCTGGAAGGGTGCTCTTCTGCCCCAGGTTCCGCCGTGCTCGAAGGGACCGAGGGGGGGTCTGTGGGACGGCAGCGCTGCAGTTTGGGACTGCTCCGATCCTCCTCTGCCCCTCCTCCTTGCATAGACCCCTCCGTTGCCAGGGCGTCTTGCCTGCTCGCTGCTAGCTTGCTGCCTCTCTGGCCGAGATCCTCGCTCGACGTGCTGTGCTGTACGGATTTTCGCTTGAACCTCCCCCCCGTTCTTGCTGGGGCCCCTCAGGTGGACCACGGGCGGGATAAGCGGGCGGGGATCTGGAGATGTGTCATCTGTCTTGGTGGCGGGCGTTAGGATTCCAAGCCACCGCTGGGTCGATGCCCACCTGCTTCCAGGCTCCACGCGTAATGCCTTAAAGCACCGTGCTGTGGATTTTCGTCGCTCTGACGGCTCTGTTATTTTTCTGTACGCGGTGGAGTGTCTCATTCGACGGGGGGCCAGGTCAGAGGTCCGGCTCTTCCTTGCAAGATCCCGCCGTCTCGTGTTGTTCAGTATGGGTGGATTGCTCTTTGTATTGATACAGTGGGCACCCACGCCAAGAACTACCCTGCTTGCCTCCAGGGTGCCCTGGGTTTCGATGGTTTTGCGATGCAACGCGTAACGTTCCCACACCAGAAATCAATTGGCGTCCTAGGGTCTCAGGGTTGGGTTTCTTGTGGAAGGTTTCTTGTGGACTGGCCTCCACTGTAAGCGTCCACACCGTTCAAAGAGCAAACACAGCGTGACGGGTTGACACTGAAAAGTGTTTTGTTTGCATCGGTTCAGCACAATCGTGGGTGAGGAAGATCCGCCTCCAGGTGGAGGAGCCCTCCTGCCTCCAGGCTTGGAAGAGCCTCGCTTGTCCGTCTTAGGCTCCAAGCGGGTTCGATTTCACCATGCAATTTCAAAGGGCTCAGGCTAGACTCAACAGGAGAGGTACACCAGTCTGAGTCATGCGGCCCAGCAGGTCCCTTATTGCTGGCAGTACCCACCTCCAGGAGGTTGGCGTCGAGGCCAAAACAGATGTAAATAGGGGGCGGGTGCGTTGCTGGATAATTCATTTCAACGGTCTTGAAGTTTGACATCAAAGCATCTACACCGATGGAAGGCAACATGTTGTCAAAATGCGGCGGTCGCCCCAGCGCCACGCACATCCGTTTGAACAGCTTCAGCAAAGGCACGGACTGAGGGCAAGTCGTGCTCAAAGTGTGGCTCTCGCCTTGGTGCGCGCACATTCGCTTCAGAGTTTGCACCACGTGTGCGGATGGAGGTCGGCCATCTCGCTTTGTTGTAGGATGTGTTTGCTGGAGACCTGCTTGATTTGTACGGCGACTACCAACTCGTGCGACAGCGTTGCAGGTCGATGGCAAATGGGCCCGTGTCAAGGGGGGGGTATCAGGCAATTTTGCAAAGCCATCGGCGATAAGCGATGAGAGCAACAAGACTGCACAACATCTGCACGGATGGAGGGCGGGCTGATTTTCAACAGAGCGCTCTCGATGGACGCTCGTTTAACCCTGAAAGGTCTTTGGACTCCCCCCCAATAGGGGGTAACTAAGTGGTTTTTGCTTGTTCTGCTGCATCATTGAAGAACGGTGGCTCCACCAATAGGGGTTAACCATTTTTTCGGCGGTACCCGCCGCGCAACAACGACGACGACAGCTACGATTAGAATGATGATGATGATGTGCTGACGATGCTGACGATGATGATGATGATGATGATGATGATGATGATGATGATGATGATGATGATGATGATGATGATGCTGATGATGGTGATGATGATGGTGATGACGATGACTACGATGATGATGACGATGATGCGGATGATGCGGATGATGATAATGAGGAGGAGGATGAGGACGAGGAGGAGGAGGAGGAGGAGGAGAAGGTGAAAGGACCTGTCCTATTCACCGCCGAGAGACAAGATGGCCCCAAGACGTCCACCAAAGGGGCCCAAGAGAAGGAACACGAACCGAAAGTCCGAGCCTTCCGCTCCAAGGGGCCCCCAGGAGGCCCCAAGAGGCGCCAAGGAGGCCCCAGGAGGCCCCTAAGAGGCCCCAAGAGGGGGGGGGGAGTGGACCAAAGCTACAGACCTTTAGAGGTGAATTGCGTGCTGCCGCCCTGGTGCTCCTCGCACCGCAGCTGCAGGGACGGAGGGCAGCCCCCCTCTCAGACAAGGCGCTTTCGTCCAGACGGCAGGCCCAAGGGTCGCTCGTCTTCTCTCGAAACTTGGGCGAGGGCTGCTAAAACCGTGGCTGCTAAAACGGCCCTCCCGGAAGCAAAACACAACTTCCCGGAATAAGGCGCGGCACACGAAACAGCCAACGGGCTTCTTCCCGGAAGGACGAAGACAGCTTCCTGGAGGTCGATTTTAGCAGCCACGGATTTAGCAGCCCTTGCCCGGCTTCCGACAAGGGTCGCTCGTCTTCTCGGGGGGTGCTCCCTGCTGTGAGAAGGAATGCTCAGGGGTGGTGCTTTGGACGTGAGGGCCGGACCCCTTCGGGTCATGGCAAAAGATCATGGCGGGAGGTTTTTCCACACTTTCGGCCTTTGGAGGCCCTCGCCGGGCCTCAGGGCCGTGAAGAAGCGTCCTGGGGAATGGGTCGAGACCTCCGGGGGTCGACGTCGTGAACCAATTATGACGTCGGGGGTCTGGGAATGCTCAGGGGTGGTGATTGCAGCCTCTGGGATTGCTGCGGCACTTGTCCTCGTCCTTCTCCATCCGCTCCTCTTGCTGATTCCCAGTTTGTCTTCCTCCTTTTCCAGGTCTTCTCCCCTCCTCCCCCCCATCCTACGGCCTCCACCCCCCCTTCTTCCCCCCTCCTCCCCCCCAACCCCTCTCCCTCCCTCTCCTTGCCGTGGTTTTTTTGTTTGTCCTCCTCCCCTTCCCGATTCTCCTCCCTCCTTTTCCTCTTCCACCCCCTCGCCCTCAACGCCTCCTGTCCTCGCCTCACCGGCCCCCTCGCCCTCAACGCCCCCTCTTCCACCCCCTCGCCCTCAACGCCTCTTCCACCCCCTCGCCCTCCTTTTCCTCTTCCACCCCGTCGCCCTCCTACACGTCCTCCTGTCCTCCCTGCCCCCCCTCCTCCCAGTAGCGAGAGAAGGACATACACGTACATGAATCCGCGCTCGTTTCGAAAGTACGCATTGCGCGAATTTTCGTACCACGAGGCTGGTCTCGCGGACGGGGGGGCCGTATTCATGTACGAGGTTGGGCGCGTACGTTCTTCTGTGCGTTCCCCGCACCCCCTCTCTCTCTCTCTCCTGGACTCCCTCCCCAGGGGGCTTGGCCCGTCTTGGTTGCGCCCCGCGCCAGGCAGATGAACGCCGGAGCCGCGGAGTGCAGCGGCGAGGCGCCCTGGTGTTGCGAGGGGGTGAGCCTTCCATCTATCCAGCTCTCGGCTGCCCCAGTACGCCCGTTTTGAAACGAAGCACGTACCGTATTCACAAAACGTCCGTGCTACACACGTTGCGAGTCGGCTTCAACGTGTTGGCCCACGTTTTGGCGAACATATCGCGTCTTCGTTTTCAGTCTACGTGTTGAGCTCCGTGCGATACGCTATGTGTTTCGCGCTGCGTATCGGGGCAGCTAAGCTCCTGGCCCCTCCCTCACCGCACCGCTGCCCTAAGTCTTCGGCGCATGGCAAAGGGGTCTTTCACTGGCTACTGCGGGATTTCATATCCTTCAGTCCAGAGGCAGACTGGGGCAGGACTAGCTCTCTGGAAACGAAGACTGACATAAACATACAAAATTCGGAGGTCCTCGCGGATTCCTCGGATCGGCGCTGGACCCCCCTCCCTGGCGGGCGGAGCGCGCCAGGGGCGGCGCTGGAGGCGCCGCCAGGGCAGGGGAGTCCAGCGCCGATCCGAGAAATCCGCGAGGGCCTCCGAGTTTTGTATGTTTATGTCATTGTTCCTTCCCCCTACTTTCGCCAGGAGCATTGGTCGACTGACTCTCGACGTGGTCCGCTCCACCCCGCTCCTCTCGCCAAGCGCGTTCCACTGCTCGCAAAGCGCCTACTCGCAAGCGTCCAACAAAAATACACGTTCGCCTCGATGTCATTTCTCGTAAATCCTTCGCGCCCGATCCAGGCCATTTGCGAGTAGTGGCTCTGCGAGTTGCGGAACGCGCTTGCCCATCTTCATTGCCCTCGTGCCCACGAGCGTGTCCCTCGATGGCCCCTAAGGGGGGCCGGCGTGGCGTGTCCCCACCACGCGCCTGCGGATTTCTTTTCTCCGGGCATGCTCAGTTGCCGCTTAGGTTTATGATGTTCCAACCTGCTTTAGCTCTGGTCACCAGAAAGAGGATGTCGAGCGCCAGGAAAGTGCCGAAACTCTAGGGTTTTCACGTGCCGGGCCCTGGGAGACACTCGTCCGACACTGTTTCGATACTGTTTCGACACTCTTTCGACACTTTTCCGGGTGCTCGAACTTATTCTTTACGCTTCGCGTATCCCCACCAGCCCATCTCACAACAGCAACTTTTGCGAAGCATGTCGACAGTCGTGTTTTTCAGGCGTGTGTCCGCTTGCCCCCGCATATCTCCCCTGTTCCTCCTTCCTCCCGCCTCCTTGTACATTTTCCTTGTGGGGGGAGCGGGAGAAGGACGAGGCGGAGGAGGAGGGTCGGGCTCCTCGTGGTGTGAGTCGTTCGGGGCCCTCGTCGTGGTGTGAGTCGTTCGGGCTCCTCGTGGTGTGAGTCGTTCGGGCGCCTCGTCCTGGTGTGAGTCGTTCGGGCCCCTCCTTCTGGTGTGAGTCGTTCGGGCTCTTCGTGGTGTGAGTCGTTCGGGCCCCTCGTCCTGGTGTGAGTCGTTCGGGCTCCTCGTGGCGTGAGGCGTTCGGGCACCTCGTCCCCTTTTGGGGCGTCTTGGGGGCCTCTTGGCGGCCCCAGGGGCTTCTAGGAGCGTCTTGGGTGCCTTGGGGGAGCCTCTTCGGGCCTCTTGGGAGCCTCTTGGAGGCCGTTTGGGGCGTCTTGGGGGCCTCTTGGCGGCCCCAGGGGCTTCCAGGAGCGTCTTGGGTGCCTCGGGGGAGCCTCTTGGGGCCTCTTGGGGGCCTCTTGGGGGCATCTTGGGGGCCTCTTGGAGGCCTCTTGGGGGCCTCCTGGGGGCCTCTTGGGGCCATCTTGGGGCCTCTTGGTCCCTCCTGGGCGCTTCTTGGGGCCATCGTGGAGGGGATGGCTCAAAGAAGAGGGAAGCTTCAATGAGCGCTGCCCCCTCAGAAGGGCAAAATGGGGCCAAAACCTTCGGAAAATCAATGATGTTGCCCTGAAGGAAGAGGGAAGCTTTAATGAGCGCGGCCCCCTCAGAAGGCCAAAATGGGGCCAACACCGTCGTAAAATCAATGTTTTTGGCTTCAAAGATGAGGAGAGGGTTTTTTCTTCCTCCCCCCGTCGGGGCCAGAATCCTCGTGAGGGTTGTCGTTTTTTAGCCCTCCCAGGAGTCGAAAACGGCCCCTCTGACCACCCGCCGGACTCCCTCTCCAGGCCCAGGGGGAGGGGGTAGGGGGAGGGGTAAACCCCTCCCCGAAGGGGAAGAAGGGGGGTTGAGGACAGAGAGAGCTCGCTAAACCACTCACGCCCAAAGGGCTGGTGGGATTTCTGGGATGTGGTCCTTAAGCACGATGGGAGCAACATAAGCTTAGGCATCGTCGCCGCGTATTCTCTACGTGTGCCACGTGGTCATGGACTGCAGCCCTCGTTGCTCCTCACGCATGGATCATAGGAGGAAAAGCTACCCATACCGCTACCCTTCGGCCGTATTCCCTTTTTGGGTGGTCTCCTGGGAGGCCCTCGTCGCCACCGCTGGATTCACCTCGAAACTCTGGTCAGAACGCTTTCCGGGAGAGGCCCGGGGAGTAGCGGTATCCGTACCCTTTGGTTTCCCCAATGGACCTTCCCGAGCCCATGTGTCTTTCATTCTGCGACATTGGCGGGCAGAGTGTATGTCCGAGGCGCCAGCGGCGGCATTGGGGGACTTGTGCGCTGGGGGGAACGCGCCGGCAAGAACAGCGCGCGGCAAGAGAGATCCTAACAACCCCCAACAAATAACGATACGCACGATATCCACCACCAGCATCGACTGGCGTGAAGCAGGATATTCGGGGGTGTCCGTGGAAGTCGACACGGGAACGAAGGAACTCGGCGTCAATGCGCGCCGACGGGCACGATTCCGAATCGCGAGTTTGGCGCCCTACGCCGACTTGATTCGTGTTTGGTTGTTTCGACGCGCGCCGACACGGCCTTCTGACGTGAGCGCGGGGGGCGGGCTTCTGTCTGGCCTTGCCAGCAGGCTGGGGCTGAGAAGGGCTCCCATAGCTTTGCAAACAAAGTTCGGAACAGTCCGATCCGATCTCGAAGGCGGCGACGGAGTACAAATCCCTCCTATGCAACATGGTTCCGATCAAGGAGGCGTCCGATGACGGCTCGTTCGATCTTGTGTGGAGGCAGGGAGATGTGCTGGTCGAGCTTACTTGGCTTAAGTCGGGCCTGTCCCTCTAAAGGAGGAATAGTCAAAAGATCCCGCCGGGAGGCGCGAACACGCACCCAACAACAAAAAAAAACGACAGCGCGCGCCTCGGCGCGCCGCACGTTCTGACAATTCCGAGGCGGCGGGCCCACTGCCCCGAGATGGCGACACGCCTCCTGGCGTGCCACCCTGGTGAGCCTCCGTGCGGCACCGCTCCCACGCGAGACCCGCCTGCCCCCGCGCACGCGCGGGCGGGGGACCTGGAGCGAGCACTCGGGCGCTGAGTTGCCTCGATACGCGCGCTCTGAAGCGCAACACGTCCTGTGTTCAAGACGTCCGTATCAATACTCTGCGTGTTGGTCCACGTATTGGACCACGTTTCGGCGAATGTATCGCGTCGGGCCTGCGCTTTCAGCTTACGTGTTGAGCTCCGTATCAATACGATGCGTGCTGCGTGTGGCGTATCGGGGCAGCTGAGGTTGGGCGCTGCGTAATAGGGGGGTCATCCATGGGGGGTGGCGAGGGTGGTCCGAAAAGATGCCCAAACGGTACCGGAGGGGCCCGAAAGGGGCACGCAAGGGGACGCTTCTGACCCCCCCATGTATGACCCCCCCCCAGTAAGCCGCGCCCAATGCAGGGAACGGGAGGGCCAAAGCGGGCGACGAGGAGCAAGAGTGTCTCCCCCACCCACCCCTGCCGAAGGTCGTCGTTGCCCACGACCCCCAGACAGGCACAGATAAGGTGACGATTGGATTTTTCCCTGCTTGTTTTCCTGGGAAGGAGACCCAGTGGCACAGGTGCCATTCGTCCTGATCATCGTCGTCCTTGTCCTCCCCTACAGGTGCTGCTGTTCCTGCACGCGGACACGGAGCTCCCGCCCGGCGCGCTAGAGGCGGTTGAGCGCGCGTTGGCAAACCCCGCGGTGCTCGGCGGCTGCTTCACGCTTCGCTTCGACGCCCAGGAGCCAGATTACGATGACGATGACGATGATGATGGCAATGCTGACCATGGTGATGACAATCATGATGACACGGTTAATCGTGATGACAATCAGGGATTCCTGTGCGGTGCAACGGTTGGCAAAGCATCAGGTGATTTTGTTTTGAGGGGAAAAACCAAATTGTTGACACGGTTCATGAATGATGATGGTGATGATGATGATGATGATGGTGGCGATGGTGATGATGATGATGTTGATGATGATGATGATGATAATGATGGTGATGGTGATGGTGATGGTGACGATGATGCGGATGTTGGGGTTGGTGTTGATGTTGATGATGAGTATGTTATTGATGATGGTTGTGGCGATGGTGATTCTGATAACGACGATGATGATACTGATGTTGGTGATTTCGATGATGATAACGAGGATGATGAGGATGATGATGATGATGATGATGCCGATGACGACGCTTACGATGATGATGTTCATGATAATGGTAATGATGGCCATGACGATGGCGATGATGATGCCAGCCACGATGATGGTGTTGATGCTAACGTTGGCGATGATGACGGTTATGATGCTTATGATGATAAATTCGACGATGACGACGATAACTACGATGACGACGATGCTGATGAGGATGGCGGCTGTGATGATGATGGTGATTATATTGATGATGATGGTGGTGATGATGATGGTGGTGATGATGATGCTGATGGAGGTCGAGGTGATGATGATGATGGCGATATTGGTGATGCTGGTACTGATGCTGACAAAGCTGATGATACAGATGAGGTTGGGGATCGGAATGAGAATGATTGGTGATGATGGTTCCGATTGAGATGATGATGATGCTGATGGTGATGGTGATGACGATGATGATGACGATGCTGCTGATGATGATGACGTGTTGGACTCCCTGATCCAGGCGGGGACCGAGTACACGTAGGGCATGGCCCCAATGGGCCACCTGGAACGCCTCCTCCACACGGGGCTCCACAATCCCGAGGAGACGATGTACGATGGAGGACCCAGCAGGAGGAGGAGTTGCCAGATGTTAAACGGCAGCATCACGCTGCCATAGTGAGTAGGCGGTGCCAAGCCGCCCAGAGTACCCAGGAGTCCCCCACCCATCCTCCGCCTTTCGACCACCTTCCTGCCTCTCCGGCTCCCTCTCCCCCGAATGTGCCACGGAATGCCTGGGAAGCCAGACTCAGGGCTTCGAGGTGTACCAGGCCTCCGCAGATGCCAGCCTCTGTGCCAGAGGTCCGAGCTGTCTCGAGGACCGCAGCTTTTGACAGGGCCCAGAGTGGCTCAAGGTTTTCCGCGGGATGGAGCACGGCCGGCCAGGGCGCAGTTCTTCGTCTTCTCTCGAGTGCATTTCAGCAGCGACTGTTGCCAGTCGCGAGATGCACGGTCGCGCATCTCAGATTGCAGCTCAGGTGTGACCCGATCCTAGAGGCATTCGAGAACGCGGGATGGACGGCGCCACCTGCGATGGGTTTTGATATGATCATGATCATGAGCATGATAATTACTATGATCCTGACGTTGGTGCGGTTGCTGCAGTTGCCGATGACGACGACGATACTTGCAATGATGACGATACCGACGAGGATTAGTATACGTATGAGGTTACTGCTGAGGATAGCGCTGCTGGAAATGCTGATGATGGTGTTGATGTTGATGTTGATGTTGTTACTGCTGGTGATGTTGATGAGATGCCGCTGCGGCTCCTGATGCTGCTGCTGCTGATGATTGCGATGCAGCTCATTATGTTGGTTGTGGCGATGATGATGGTGGTGATGATGCTGCTGATGATGGTGATGATGATGCTGATGATGAAGTCGATGATGATGTGGATGTTGATCCTGATGTTGTTGGTGCTGCTGGTGTTAATGATGATGATGATTGTGATGCTGATGCCGGTGATGATAATGACGATGCTGATGATGCTGCTGATGATGATGGTGCTGATGATGATGCTGATCATTGGGATGATGCTAACGATGACGAGGAGCAGGAGGACGAGGAGGAGGAGGAGGAGGAGAAACAGGGGAAGGACAATCATTATAATAATAATATGGAGGGGGACGGCGAGGAGGAGGAGGAGGAGGAGGAGGAAGAGGAAAGGGAGGAGGAGGAGGAGGAGGAGGAGGAGCTGGAGGAACAGGAGGATGAGGACGACGAGGAGGAGGAGGAGGAGGAGGAGGAGGAGGAGGAGTAGGAAGAGGAGGCGGAGGAGCAGAAGGAAAGTAGTGTAAGGAGGAGGAATGGGAGGAGGAGGAGGAGGAGGAGGAGTTGGAGGAGGAAGAGGAGCAGAGGGGCAGGATAAGGAGGATTGCGGACGAGGAGGGGGAGAGAGGAGGAATGAAGGAAGGGAGGAAGGGCTGAAGGAAGGAAGGGATGGAGGATGTGCAGGAGAATGGGGAGGGAGGAGAAGGGCTGGAGGGAACCCGAAGCGGGGACTGATGCAGGCAGCAGCGACGCAGGGGTCGGTGGGCTTGCTTCGTGGCCAACCCGATTGCAGGAAAGGCCTGTTCGCTCGTGTCTTCCTGGAGCTGGCTCTGCGCAAAGGTTCGGATGCACCTGGGAGGTCAAATTCTGTCTTTGCCTTAGTCCGAAATCTGGTTTAATCCCGCTTAAACCCGCTTGTTCCCGGAGGAGGAGGAGGAGGAGGAGGAGGAGGAGGAGGAGGGGGAGGAGGAGGAGGAGGAGGAGGGGGAGGTGGAGGAGCAGGGGTCTCGCGCAGCACGGGGAGGAGGGGGCGGGAGGCGGGAAGGAGGAAGGGCGTACGAAAGACATCGGGCCAGGCTGGAGTTTGCCGGGGGAGGACGCTGTAGCGGAGGGCCACGGCAGCAGCCCCGCCGCCCCCCCAGAGGAGGGCAGCGCGGCGTTGCGGCTGTGGTCGTGGTGCACGCGCTGCTGGTTGTTGCGGACGCCCAGGCTGGTCTTCGGCGACAGGGCGATCTTCGTGCGGCGCTCGGTGTTCGAGGAGCGGGCGAGCCCCAGCGGCACCGTGGAGATGGGGCGGAGGATGGAGGAGGAGGATGGAGGAGGAGGAGGAGGAGGAGGAGGAGGAGGAGGAAGAGAGGGAGAGAGAAGGAGGAGGTGGAAGAGAAGGATGAGGTTTGGGAAGGAGGGACGAAGAGATGGAAGATGACGATGGTGATGGTGATGATGGTGACGGTGGCGTCGATGGTGATGGTGATGCTGGTGATAACATTGATGACGGTGGTAACGGTGATGACCGTGATGCTTGCGATCCTGTTGCTGCTGCTGAGGGGGAAGGAGGAGGCGGAGGAGAAGGAGGAGGAGGAGGGGAGGAGGAGGAGGAGGAGGAAGAGGAGGAGGAGGAGCGAAGGCAGGAAAGGCAGGACAGAGAGGAGGAGGGAAGGAAGGAAGGAAGGAAGGAAGGAAGGAAGGAAGGAAGGAAGGAAGGAAGGAAGGAAGGAAGAGGAGGAGGAGGAGGAGGGGAGGAGGAGGGAGGAGGAAGAGGGAGGAGGAGAAGAAGGAGGAGGAAGTGGATGCGAAGGAGGAGGAGGAGGACGATGATGACGATGATGATGATGTTGTTGATGATGATGATGACGATGATGATGATGATGGCGATGATGATGGTGATGGTGATGGTGATGGAGATGGTGGTGATGATGATGAAACTGATGATGATGATGATGGTGATGCTGATGCTGATGATGATGACGATGATGATGATGAGCATGATGATGATTATGATGATGATGATGATGATGATGATGATGCTGATGCTGATGCTGATGCTGATGCTGATGATGATGCTGATGCTGATGCTGATGATGATGATGATGATGATGATGATGATGATGATGATGATGATGATGATGATGATGATGATGATATTGATGATGATGAGGAGGAGGAGGACGAGGAGGAGGAGGAGGAGGAGTTTGAGGAGTAGGAGGAGGAGGAGAAATAATTTCAACACCTCCCCCCCGCAACTGCGGGTCAAGAGTGAGCGGGGCGCCTAAGTTGCCTGGCCAGTGCCGCGGTGCTCGCACGTCGAGGGTCATGGTGAAGAGAGTCGCGGCGGGCGGTAGCGCCGTTCCAAGAAATCCGCGTGGAGTTCCCAAAGTGTTTTTTTTTGGATGGGGTATTTATCAGGGGGTGGGGTGCTTCACCTTGCGACGGGGCTTGCCCAACCTCCCCTCCACCCTCCCCCTCCTCCTCCTCCTTCTTCCCCCTCCTCCTCCTCCTCCTCATCCGCATCCTCATCCTCATCCTCATCCCTTTCCTCCTCCTCCTCCTCCGTCTCGTCTCTCTCCTCCTCCTCCTCTTCCTCCTCCGTTTCCCTCTCCTCAGCCTTTTGCCTTTCTTCTTCCCCTTCCTCCTCCTTCTCCTCTTCCTCCTCCTGGTCCTGCTCCTCCTCCTCCTCCTCCTCCTCCTCCTCCTTCTCCTCTCCCTCTTTCTCCTGCGCCCATCCACTCGTTCCGACACCGCGTGCCCCACCCCTCCACCCCCAGGATCTAAGGGTGTGGCGATGATCGTCCCATCCGGAGTACACGTCGGTCGTTGAAAGTGGGTAGTTTGGGAGGCCCAAGTCCCAATCTGCGCGATGCGCCCGCCTGCTTCAAGGGCCGAGTGGTGTTCCCTCTTCCCGCCTCTTCAGGGGGCGGGCGGAAGCCCAATCTACTTTCAGCGCCTTCCTACTCCATGCTGCTACCCACTCCTTCCGACCGACGGGTATATGTATGGCGCTGCTTGTTCTCCCATCTGGCCGACACCCGACCGACCGACGCGTTTGCCAACCGGCCGACGACCGACCGATTGCCGGCGGCGGCGGCGGTACACGTAAGAGTGGCCCTTCGCCGGAGTGACCTTTAGTGTTAAGTCGGGCCTGTCCCTCTACAGGGGGAATATTCAAAAATTGCCAAAAAATAGTCAGGGGACGATGTTTTGACTATTTCTGAGCATGCGGGGTGTATTTTCTGAGTACTTTTTATTTTTCGCCCAAAATGCCCCTGTAGGGGGACACGCCCGACTTTTAACTTTAGTGCGGTCACGCGGGGGGGGCCCCAGATGGCTGAGCCTTCGATGCGACACAGCAGGGGCGCGTGCACTCGGGCTCGGCCCCCCCCCCGCGGCCCCCGAAGGTCGCGCACCAGAGGCCGTCTCCTGCCCACGGTTACGTCGGGCCTGCCCCTCTAGAATATCCCAAAGATAGTAAAACAAATAGTCTGGGGACTATTTTTGTGGTATTTTTTGGGCATCTTTTGAGCATTTTTGGCGCATTCTTTGTCTTTCGTGCAAAATCCCCCTGTAGGGGGACAGGCCCGACCTAAGCCCAGGGTGTCACGCTCACGTGTAGCCGAGGAGGGGGCCCCGACCAGTCCCGAATGGGGGAGCGACGGGTGGGGGGGACAGCGAGTGCTGCCGAAAAGATGCCCTCTATGGTTGGAGGTTGATAGACCTCCTACCCTGATACGTCGATTAGTGAATTGGCCGTTTTCGGTTCGCGAGAGGGCGCCGCGGCCGTCATTTTTGTGGGTCCAGGCCCGTCGGTTTCGGTCCCAGGCCGTTTTCACTAAGGGGAGGTTTACTAAAGGGAGGTTTGTCCACCGCCGATATAGGGCCCCTAGGACGAGGCCTTTTCGGGCCCCACATGGGGCCTTCAGGGCTCGAGCAGGGCACCTTTTCTCTCTCCCCTCCAGTTACCGCCTGCCTCACAGACCCCCGACATCATCATTTTTTCATAACGTCGACCCCTGGAGGTCTCGTGGACACCTCCCCCGTGACCGGTTTTTCATCCTGAGTCGTTTTTTGACGGCCCCAGGGCCCGGTGAGGGCTTCCAGAGGCCGAAACTAGCGAGAAACCTCCCGTCGGGATTTTTTCACCACGCGAGGGGGTCTGGGTATATCGCCCCCCTCATTAATTCGCATGTACGTTCCCCGCGGGGCATCCCGCTGCGGGCGGAACGCCGCAGCTGCCAGGGCGGCACCCTCGGTGGGGCCCCGCCGCACCAGGGGAGGCCGCTGTGGGGAAGGGCCGCGGCCGGCGGGAGCACCTCGAGGCGCGCAAGAGGGCCGCGGAGGGGCCGCCGATAGTAATCGTCTTTTATTCATTGTTTTGCCGATCGGCGCGGGCCCTCGCCCCCCCCCCCCCCCATGGAGTAGAACTTGGCTGTTTTCGGCGCCTGTTTTCAGCAGGTGGAGCCTCCCCGACAGGACGCACGGCGGTTCCAAACCGTTGCACTACGAAGCAGAGGTCCTGAGCCAGACCACCCCTGCCCCCCCTTCCGCCCAACGTCGAAACGCCGACTAAGAGAACGTCCACAGGTACCCACTTCATCCTGCCGGCGGGTTTGCCAAAGTGGTCTCCAGGTGGGCCGCGGACGGCGGGGCGGGGCGGTGGGGCTCGCGACCCTGAGCTCCTGGCGTCTCAGTGTTGTGTGGAGCCAGACGTTTTCGCTTTTTCTCGGGCCCCGGGATTCTCTCGGCCACGCGCAGAGGGGGTAGGGGCAGGGGGGATGGCTTCGTAGAAGCACCACTGCTTCTCAGCAGGCGCGGGCCTTCTCTATAGATGGAAGGCCCGCGCCTCCTAAGAAGCAGTCACCTTCTAAGACGCCCTCCCCCCTCCCCCCGCCCCCTTGTGCGCGCCGCCCACTCTCACAGAACGATCTGGCTCGAAGAGGGACGCGGAGAGATGGGCTCTAGGGACCCGGGCGCGATTTGCCGCGGCGTCTCCGTTTTTTCGAGCCGTCGGAGCTCAGGGGGCGCCGGGAAGCCCCTGTGGGGAGACGCCCGCCGCGGCCGCCCGCCGGCCTGCCCTCCCCTCAGCGCCGCGGGCCGGCCGCGGCGGCGACCAGGATGCCATGGCCCCCACCTGCCCAGGAACGCGTGCGGATTCACTGTCGGGGGGAGGAGGGGGAGGAGGAGAGGAGGAGGAGGAGGAGGAGGAGGAGGAGGAGGAGGAGGAGGTTAGGAGGTTAGGAGGTTAGGAGGAGGAGGAGGAGGAGGAGGAGGAGGAGGAGCGAGGGCGAGGAGGAGGAGGAGGAGGAGGAGCGAGGCGTCGCCGGTCTTCCAGGTCGATGCTCCCCCCCCGTTTCCCTACCCCCCCCTAACGTTGCCCCTCGGGTCGTTTCTTTTTTGCGGCCGGAGGGCCCCTCGGCCACCCCGCGGAGCCCTCGGTGCCGCCCGCGATGCGATCGGGTGCCACTCCAGTCGCGGATGCGTTCGGAACGGTCGGGAGGGGAAAAAACACAGGCACAATTCATCGTCGATCCCGAGGAAGATGTGGGAAAGCATGGGAAGGTTGGGGGGGAGACAAAAGCCCCGAACTTGTGGAAGGATATGGGGGATCCTGCGATTTGTGTATTTATTTGTTGTGTGTCCCAGGGTCCCTTCAGAGCGGGCGGTTCGGAGCGGGCGGTTTTGGACCGTTTTCGGCCTCTGGGGGCCCTCGCTGGGCATCGTGGGCGTCAAGAAGCGGCCCAGGAGGAGAAGCCGGCCCCAGGGAAGTGTGGTCCAGACCTCCAGGGCCCAGACATCCAAGGAGACTGGAGCAGCCGGATGTCTGGGCACATGCTGCGGGTGGACAAGAGCAGGAGGGCGGGCGCGGTGTAGGCTGTGGGGTGGGTCGCGGGTGGGTCGCGGGTCGCGGGTCGCGGGCGTGGGTCGCAGGTCGCGGGTCGCGGGTCGCGGGTCGCGGGCGTGGGTCGCGGGCTTGGTTCGCGGGCGTGGGTCGCGGGTGGGTCACGGGCGTCGATCGTGGGACGCGGGGTCGGTCGCGGGGGCGCGGGGGCGACGACGACCTTGACGCAAGAATCGGCCTTGCGGAACCCACGTCGGCCACGCACCCGGGGACGGTGCAAATTCGTTCGGCCCCCTCACCCTGACCATGATGCAGCTCTTAGCCGTTGTCGCGCACGGCGGGGCGCCAAGCTTCAAACGAGCAAGTTTTTAAGATTGAGACTTAAGCTTCACCTTAACTGCTCGAGATTGAGCTCAAGATCCCGCGTGAGAGTCAAACGTCGTTTGGGAAGGTTGAGGGAGTGTTGAAGCGCACATGTCGGTGACCACCACACGAAACCAGTTGTTTGTTGCATTGCAGTGTTTGTTTCTGCACTGCGGTTGTTGTGTGTGTTTTTCAATTTTGTTTGCGCTGTGATGGCGCTGCTCGAGCTTGAACTCGCGAGAGCCTAAAGGAGGGTTGGAGCGCACATGTCGGCGACCACGACACGAAGACAGCTTGTGTTGAATTGCAGTTGTTTGTGCATTGCAGTCTGTTGTGTATTTCAGTTGTTGTTGCGCTGTGGTGGCGCTGCTCGAGCTTGAGCTTACGATTACGCGTGAGAGCCAAGCGTGTCTTCGGGAGGTTAAGGTAGTTTTGAAGCGCTCATGTTAGCAACGACGACCCGAACACCGATCATTGTTGCATGGCAGTTGTGTTCTGCATTGTAGTTTTTGTACATTGCAATATGTTGTTTGTGCCGTAGTGGCGCTGTTCGAGCTTGAGTGTAGGATTTCGCGCGAGAGCCAAGCATGATGTGGCGAGGTTCAGGAAGGGTTTAAACGCACATGTCGGCGGCGACGACACGAACACCGACTTGTGTTGCATTGTCATTTTGTTGGGCATTGCAGTTTTTCTTGCATTCCAGTTTTGTTGCGCCGCAGTGGCGCTGATAAAGCTGGCTGGCTGGTCTGGCTGGCTTGTCCGACTGGTCTGGCTGGCTGGCTGGTCTGGTTGGTCTGACTAGCTGATCTGGCTAGTCCACTTGATCCAACCATATTGATCTGCTCAGTCTGGTCTGGGCGTGTCTGCTTGACCCCGGCATGTTGAGCTGCTTAGTCTGGTCCAGGCTTTGCTGCTCTGAACGGCTGGCTGGTCTGGTTGGTCTACCTGGCCATTCTGGTTCGTCGCCGTCGTTGGCGTCGCCGCGGCCAGGGCTGGGACCGAAAGCGCTGCTGCGTCAAGTCTAGCTGCAGCAGGAAGGGGGATTCTGGAGGGGACACATCAGCAGACATATCAGGTCTTATGCCCCAGAACATAGTAAGGCGCTCGTGCATACGAACGTTTCGCCTCGCGCGGCTTAGTTGATTTGTTTGTGTATTGCCGTTTGTTGCGTTGCAATTGCTTGTTGGTTTGCTTTGTTTTTGTGGCGTGGTAGTTGCGTTGCTCGAGCATGACATTGGGATCCCGCGTAAGAGCCAAGCATGGGCTGGGGAGGTTCAGGGATGATTGAAGCGCACATGTCGTCGACCACGAGCTTGAACACAGTTGTGTTGTCGTTGCAGTTTGTTTTGTTTAGCAGTTCGTCTTACAGTGCAGTTTTGCTGGCATTACAGATTATGTCAGCGCTGTAGTGGCGCTGCTAGAGAGCTGAGGCTTCCGCGGGCGAGCCAAACGTGGTTTGGAGAGTTCCAGTGAGGGTTGGAGAGCGCATGGCGGCGACGACGACACGAGAAGTGCGTGTTGTTTTGCATTGCAGTTGTTTCAGCATTGCAGTTTTTAGCGCTGTAGTGGCGCTGCTAGAGCTTGAGCTCAGGATTCCGCGTGAGAGCCAAGCGTGTCGTGGGGAGGCTTAAGGAGGGTTGAAGGCCAGATGTCGGCGACGACGACGACGACACGAGCACAGTTTTTTGTTGGGCGTGGCAGATTCGTTTCATTGCAGTTTTTTTCTGCATTGCATGTTCTATTGCGCTGTAGTGGCGCTGCTAGGGCTGGCTGGCTGGTCTGGCTGGCTGGACTGACTAGTCTGGCTGGCTTGTCTGGCTGGTTTGACTAGCTGGTCTGGCTAGCCCACTTGATCTAACCAGGTTGATCTGCTTAGTCTTGGCCAGGCTTGTCAGCGTGGTCCAGGCAGGTTAACCTGTTTAGTCTGATCTGGGCTTCGCTGGTCTGGACGGCTAGCTGGTCTGGTTTGTCTGGAGGGTCTACCTGGCTGGTCTGGTTCGTCGTCATCGGTGGCGTCGCCGCAGCTGAGCAATCTTAGTTCTTGCGCCCCGAAGCATAGTGAGGCGCTGACGCATAAGAACTTTTTGAGAGGCTTGCAATGCTGAAGGAGGGAGGTGCAACGAGGGGAAGAGGGGCGGAGGGGCGGAGGGGTGAGAGGAGGAGGGGAGAGGGCAGCACAGAGGAAGATGGGGAAAATGGTGAAACGCGGAGGCAGGGAAGGAGGGATGATGTCGACGAGGATGGAGGAGGGAAACGGAGGGGGGATGCTGTTGCGGGGGTGGCGCCGCTCGAGAGGTGGTAATCAGGAGCAGGAGCACGAGGGAGGAGGAATCATATTGGAGAAGATGCTAGGAGGATAGGTATAATAACGGTCACTAGCACCGTGAATACGATTGACAATGCAGTGAAGGCATGACAGAGGAGTATCGGGGAAACGGGGAGGATGTAAGGGAGGGAATAGGGAGGGATGCTGTAGGAGAGGGGATGCAGAATGGAGAAAAGCAGGGGAGGGGGGGGTAGGGGGGGGGATGACGAGGGAGGAGAAGCATGAGAAGGGTCGGGAGAGGCGAAAGAGTAGGAGGCTGGAAGGAGGAGGGGGGAGGAGGGGGAGGGAGAAGGGAGGGATACGGGATGAATCTTGAGCGGGAGGGCTGGAGAGCGGGAGGGCAGGGAGACGCGAGGGCGGGATGCCGGGATAACGGGAGGCGGGAAGATTTGGAATGCGTGGTGTTGACGTGGAAGATGCTAAGATGGAAAAAGGGAGGGAGGAGGAGAGAGGGAGAGAGATATTGATCACCAAAAAAACACACAAACAAAGAAACCAAACAAACAACCAAGCGAAGGAGGCAGAGACAATGGACAGGAGACAGAGAGAACAATGGTTGTTAGGATTGTAGGCGTAGGAATAGAAGAAGATTCAGCGGGGGCAGTAGCTAGATGATGACGATGATGACGATGATGCTGATGATGCTGATGATGATGATGATGGTGATGGTTGTGGTGAGGATGATGATGCTGCTGATTCTGATGCTGATGCTGATGCTGATGGTGCTGATTATATTGATGATGAGGCTGTTGACGATGATGGTGCTGATAATGATGACGGCGCTGATGATGTTGCTGATGATGTTGATGATGATCAGGATGAGCATGGTGTTGTTGATGGTGATGATGAGGATGATGACGAGGAGGATGAGGATGCTGATGATGAACATGATGGCAATGCCGATGATGATGACGACGTTGATGGTGATGATGCGAATGGTGATGCTGCTGATGAGTATGATGATGATGGCCATGATGATGATGATGATCATGATGATGATGATGATGATGATGATGATGATGATGATGATGATGATGATGATGATGATGATGATGACGATGACGATGACGATGACGATGATGGTGAGGATCAAGCTGAGGATGAGGATACGGATCAGCATGAGAGGTGAGGATCAAGCTGGAGATGATGACGATGATGGTGAGGATCAGCATGAAAGTATAAGGATAAGGAATATGATGATTATGATGATGATGATGATGATGATGATGATGATGATGAGGAGGAGGAGGAGGAGGAGGAGGAGGAGGAGGAGGAGGAGGTGGAGGAGGAGGAGAAGGAGGAGGGGGGGAGGAGGAGAGGAGGGAGGAGGAGTGAGGAGGAGGCCCAGGGAGGAGGACGCAGAGGGAAGAGTGGATGGGGGGAGGTCAAGGGTGGCCCCCCGAAGGAGCTCGGGGGCTACAGCGACTGGCCGATCCTGGAGGACCTCGACTTCGCGATGCGGCTGGCGGCCAAAGGGCCCGGGGCCTTCGCGTTCCTCCCCGCCGCCGTCACGACCTCCGCGCGCAGGCTCCTGGAGGTCGGCCCCGTCGCGCAGCAGCTCCTGAACACCTCGATTGTTATCCTGTGGTGCTCTGGCGGCGCGCACCATGTGGGGGGGCAGGGTGAGGGGGGAAGGCTCCTTAGAAGGAGGCTGCTTCTCAGAGGGCGCGAGCCCCACATCTGCAGACGGGGCCCGGGCCTTCTGAGAAGCAGGGGTGCTTCTAAGGAGCCTCCCCCCCTCCCCCTACATCCTTGTGCGCGCCGCAAGCTCCCAGATGGGGCCCGAGTAGAGGGGTCGGAGGATCGCGCCGCATCGGCGACGCATCGGGGATACAGCTCGATGTGGAGCCCGATTTTCTTCACGCCGACTGCACGGACGCGTCGCCGAAGTCGGCGATGCAACGGCGATGCGGCGCGTTCCTCCGACCCCATGTACGGTAGGTTCGCGTCGTGTCGACCGTCGGCGACCTCGCCGCCGGCGTTCAACGTAGAACGCCGCCGTCGTCCGGGCATCGGTCGATGTTGAAAGATCTGAAGTTTCGGAAGCGGCCTAGCGTTCAAAGTTGAGCGATCCCCGCGGTGCCAGAAACCAGCTCCGGGGTCGACACGACGCGAACCTGCCGCACTCGGACCCCAGACGGGAGGCCTCTAGGTACTGCGGGCTCTCCCCCGAGACCCTGAAGGGGCTGTACCGGTACAGTATGCCCAGACTTGCCGGCAGGACCGGGGCAGGGCGTCCAGCGCGGAGAGGGGGGAGGGGGGAAGGCGAGGGCGAGGGGCTGGCGAGATGGGGTGGTAGGATGCACGAGGGAGAGGAGGAGGGGGACGAGGAGGGGAAGGAGGAGGAGGGGGGAGGAGGAGGAGGAGGAGGAGGAGGAGGAGGAGGAGGAGGAGGAGGAGGAGGAGGAGGAGGAGGAAGAAGAGGAGGAGGAGGAGGAGGGGGAGGAGGAGCAGGAGGAGGAGCAGGAGGAGGAGTACAGGAGTACAGGAGTACAGGAGTACAGGAGTACAGGAGTACAGGAGTACAGCACGTCGAGACGCTGTCCGTCTAGCGAACAGCGCTCTGCGGGCCCTCAAGGGAGGGCGAAGGGCAGGCCGAACGACCCCTCGTTCCGCCGCCTGCGCCTCGGCGCCGCCCGCCCAAGGCGGGGTGGGCCGCGCCGCAGCCGTGGGTGCCGCCGCCCAGCCCTCCTCGCCGTGGCCGGGGGGCGAGGGGCTCGGCGGCGGCAGCGAGGAGGCCCGCGGGCTGGACCCTGCCACCTCCTCCTCGCTGCTGGGCGCCACCCCGCGGGCGGCCACGCCGCAGCGCCAGCGGCGCGAGGCTGACCCACGGCCGCCTCCCCCGCAGGGTCGCCGTCCCGCTGGCCGCCGGAATCCGAGCCGGCAGCGGCCGCGCTAGCGCCCTGCGCCTGTGGCGGCGGCGGGCGCACAGCGCCAGACAGCGCCACCTGCGCCACCTCCCCCCCGCGTCGCGCAGCCACGTCCACCGACCCCGCGATGCCGTCCAGCTCCTGCGTGCCGCCGACCGCGCTGCCGTTACCGCCAGACTCGCTGTCGGTGGACACGCCCTCGGACTCCACCGTGGGACCGCCAACACCCCCGAACGGCCTGCCAGTCTTGGGATCCAGCGACAGCAGCAGCAGCAGGTTGTCCCGCCTACCGTCCAGGTTGGAGACGTAGGTCGTAGTGATCCCTGCTCCGCGGAGGGCCCTGGCAGGGTCGCTGCAGGCCGCGCGCAGCAAGCGTTTTCATCCATGCCACGCATACCTCTCAGAAGACCGTGGGCCCAGCGCGCCGCAGCCGATGGCCCTCGTTGGCGAGCATGCCCTCCTCGGCGTCGTGACACGGGTTGCCGCGCACCAGCAGCGGGTCGTCCCCGTCGCCCTCGGCCTCCCGCAGCGCCGCGGCCGCCCTAGCTCCCGCCTGGGACGCTACGACCGCCTGGGCCTCGACGTGGGGGATGTCGGCTCCTGCCTTGCTGCGCGCCAGCTTCGACGGCTCGCATGCCGTCCTTAGGAACTGCTGCAGCGCCGCGCCAGCCCGCGCCCGTGAGCGCCTTCCGCGCTCCTTGTGCAGCAGCCTCGACGGCCACCCACGGCGACCACCGCGTGCTCCACCACCGTCGCGCGTGGAGCTGGCCCTGCAGGTGGCGGCGGCACCGCCCTCACAGACTGCTGCCGCCCGCCAGGCTGGAGGCAGCGCTGCATGGCCCACCCGATGTTGGCCGCAACCCTCTTGTAGCGTTGCATCTCGACCCCGTAGAAGTCCACGTAGACCTGAAACACTGCATGTGGCATCGCCCCTTGCTTGGCGAACCAGTCCGCCCACGCGTGACCCGCGTGGAGCATCGGGTGGAGGCCCAACACCACGTTGCCCTGGACGTCCAAGTGGGTTGGGATCCAGAACGCGTTTGGGCGGATTGGGTGGCGGCGCAGGCGCCTCCACACTTCTCGCCCCAGGAGCTCACCATGCGCGCCAACGCCAGCAGGTCTGTGGCGACGAACTCCACCTGGGACTCGAGGAGCTGCGCCGCCTGCAATAGCGCGCGCCGCTCTGCGCGCCTCGCAGCCTGGAGCGGGCCAGGCAGCGCGCCGAAGGCCGAGCGCACAGAGGGCCCGTTGGCCCCCAACTGCACCAGCGACCACCCACAGCGCCCCAGCTTGGGCATGCTGCTGGCAAAACCCGAGCCGTCGGTGAACGCGACGCTCCCGCGCTGACCAGCCGCCTGGCATGCCGGCCGCCCCGCAGCCCGATGTCGGCCTCATGCAACGCTGGCGGCACGCGCGGCGGCTTGACTGAGAGCCCGACCTCGTGCTCGAAGCCGCCGAAATCGGACCTGTCCTGTCCCAGCTGCAAGCCCCTGTCGCGCATGCGCGCCCAGACATCCTGGAACCTCTCGGGCAGGGCAGACTGCTCCTCCTCACCGTGCCGCGCCATGAGCAGAGCCTCGCACCCGTCGGGCCTTTGTCCTGCTGCGTTGGCCTCCTCGCCACAGGCCAATCGCATCGTCGAGTCCGCTAGGCGCACCTCGTGGAGCCGCTGCCTGGTCCACGGCGTGCCAGCCCAGTTGGCCCTCAAGCTGGCGGCGGCAGGGCATCAGGGAAGCGCCGCGCTATTGCTGCCAACGCAGACTCGTAGCACTCGGAGCCAGAGTGGCCCAAGCGGCTGCAACTCCGCGAAGAGCCCCATGACCTGTCGGCCCTGCCAAGGGCCCACCCCCGCGAACAGGAAGGCCTTGGGGTCCGACGGCGATGTCGCGGGCAACTGGGCACGCTGCTCCTTGTCCGTGACCGGGGCCCCGGTGGGCCACATGCACCGGCCGATCCTCCATAGCGCGAGCGTCGATGAGGACATCGGGCCCCTGGCCGACGCCCGCGACGGTCGATCGATCATGTTTTCCGCGATGATGGCCCACGCTTTCTGGGGCTGTCCCAGGGAAGCGCGCTGCTCCCAGATCCAGCTCGCGCGCCTGACCACGAGCCCGCAAGCCGACTGGCCTCGGCCCGCAGTCGCCGCCGCTCGTCGCCCGTGAACCCCGTGACCTCAGCTCCGCGGCCTGCGCTTGCGCCGCAGGAAGGCCACCTTGCCCCCGGCAGCGCGCTGCAGCGCAGATAGCCGCCCTCGGCGCCGCGCCAGCGCCTGCAAGCGGATCTGGGTCTGCTGCCGCTCGATCCTGCTGCCTCCAAGGACGTGGCCCAGGTTCCGCGCCCAGCGCAGCCGCTGCGAGCCCTTCGTGCCAGCGCGCCGCTTGCTGGCGCGCGCGAGGCCCGAGACCACCTCGTAGGAGACGGACCCGAACGCCTGCAACTTCCGCGTTTGGCGGTACAGTTCGAGGAGGAGCCAGACGAGAGGAAGCGGCATGCGCAACTGCCTAGCCTCTTGGAGCAGGGCAGCAGGGACTACGGTCCCGAAGCGCGTCCAGGCATCCGTGAGGACCGTGATCACTTGTTCCCGAAGGTTGACCGCGGCCTCCGTCTCTAGGTTTCGGTCGAACGCCGCGTCGGAGGATGACTTGCCCGCGCCAAGTCCCCAGACGTCAACGTTGGGGCGCTGCCGCCGCCAGCCCCTGGACTGAGCGCGCCCGCGGCCGCCGCATCACCAATGGACGCATGGCGGTGCTAAGTCGGCATCCTCCCGAGGGCCTCGGCAGCCGACGCATGGCGTGCCAGAGGTGGCCGTCAGGTCAGGCCCCGGGCCTTTACGTGCACATGAACAGCTGCGCGCGCACTTACATGCCCTCGTCAGACAGGAAGCCGAGGGCCCTCATGCCGATCTTGGCGGGCCCGATGGCCGCGCTGCAAGGAGGGCGCCGCTTGCCGCAGTTGCTCAACCGTGAGCTCGGGCAACGACTCCGACCCGCCGATGTCCGCTGACCTGTCATCGGCTGCAGCCCGTGGCACTGCCGCGCCTCTACCCAAGGCGTCATCTCGCGGTCGAACACGCGGCGGGGGCTGACCCCTTGCTGCTCGCCATGCCAGGCGGAGATGACCTCCTGCTAGTTCCCCACCTTGGATTCGCGGCGTGCCTGGCCCGCGCCGCGGCTGAAGGCGCCGCTCGCCCGCTTCGCTCATGCCGCTTTGGCGCCGCCTCGCGCTGGCCGCTGGCGCGTTCCACCACGCGGGCAGCGTGCTCAACGAAGCCCTCCGACTTGAGGACGAGCAGCTGTTGCTGGAAGAAGTCCTTAATCCAGTGCGGCAGCGGGGCGGGAGTGCCACGGCGCTGCTCTGCGGTCTTCCGCATGTAGGCGCGCGCCTCGAGCAGGAAGGCCGCCAGCTTGCCGTGCTGTCTCGCGTCGAGCGCGCACGCCAGGTCAGCCCCATGGAGTTGTCGGAGCGCTTTGGCGACGCGCGCCCCGACCCCCATCTCGCGGCGAGCCCGCCTCGACGCAGCGCGATGCGCCGACGCTTGCCGCCCAAGCTGGGTCCGACGACGAGGGGGTCGCCACGCGACGGCGACGAGGGCCGTCTCCAGAGCACCTGACCTGCCGACGTACTTGGCCGCGTCCGCCCCCACGTGGCCGCGGCGGCCCAGCAGCTCCTGCTCCACTGCCCCGACCACCGCGCCCCAGGCCGCTGGCAGCTGCGCGGCGCTCACGACGTCACGCGCTTTAGCCCGCGGCCGGCTGCCAGTCCTCCCCCCCGCGGTTGCAGCCGATCGGCGGGACGGGCCCGATGGGCCTCGGACCTCGGTCCACGCAGATCCTCATTTCGAGGTCTTGGGTCCGCACCGTGACCGCCACAGGCAGGTGCGGTGCCGTGGTGCCCTCCTCGAGCACCTGCGGCTTGCCCAGCCGCGGCGCAGGGTTGGCTGCGAACAGGAAGTAGTCGATGGCGGGCCACGCTCCGACCCGCAGCCTGCAGGTAGGCGCGTCGGGCGCCGCCCGCAGCCCTCGCGCGTCGTGGACCAGCTGCATGGGGAAGGCCTCCGCCGACATGTTGCAGTCGCCGCCCGCGGCCCAGCCCAGCCTCGCCGCGTTGGGCCTGGCCAGGTAGCGCGCGAGGACCATCCCGAGACGCTGCTTCTCCTCGCCCCAGCCCACGGGCGCCCGCGGCTGCAGCTGCCCGCGCGCCCGCGTAGCCGTAGTCCAGCATTGCGCGCTGCAGGGTGGCCAGCCTGTCGTGGCCCCTAACACGGTGCAACTAGACCAGCAACACCGCGGCGCTGGAGCTCTCGCGGAAACCCTCAACACACAGCGTCAGGGAACCACCCGCCGTGACGCCGTTGGCAACAATGCCGCTCTTCGTCATGGTCGGGAACCACGCGCTGAGGACCAGCATCGCCTTGATGATGCTGGAAGCCGCCGCGAGCCAACGCGGTGCAGCGGGCTTGCACAGCCTCCTCGTCGCCCTCGTGATCCAGTCCGACCTTTTGCAGGCGTCGCTGGAACTGCTCCAGGGACTGCTGGCGGGGCCGCCGCGGCCTCGCATCCTCCGCGCCAGCGGCCGCGGCTGAAGACTGCTGGCCGCCGCCTGCGCTGCCGTCCGCGGCCCCGTGCTCCTCGCCCGCGGCCGCTTCGGCGGCAGGCTCCGCGCGCCGCGCCCGCTTTGGGGCATAGAGCTCGGCGATCCGCTCACCAAGCACTCCTGCGATCCGCTTCTGCGCCTCTGCTGGGACAGGTTGCTCGTCGTCAGGGTGCTCGACCAGCAGCGTCCGCATGATGGCCTCCAGCTCCCCGACCGCGATGCCAGGCCCGCCGATGACGTTCGACGCCATGGCCTGGCCAGCGCGCGGGGTGGAGGCACCTGCGGGACCGACTGCTGAAGCGTCGCCGGCTCCGCTTGCAGCGCAGCCTGCAGCGCAAGCAGCTTGGCGTTGGCTTGCTCCGTGCGCTGCACCTCCTCCCGCGCCCGCTGGAGCGCCTCTTTGGCCTTGCGCATCGCGCCCTCGGCCTTGTCCAGCCGCTCTGCGCACCGCTTGGCCTTTTTGGCGACGGCATGCGTCCTGGCGTGGAACGGCTTGTTGGCGAACATATTGGCTTTCGCCTTCTCGAGCCTGGCTCGCAGATCGTCTCGAGCCCAGTCTGGGGCCGCGTCCTTGAGCGCGTGGAGGCCAGCCTCGCAATCGTTGGCCTCGGCGGCCAGGGCCGCGTCGTCCGCGCCAGCGGCGGTGCCGTCGTCGACAACCATGTCCTCTGCCCCCGCGAGCTGCAGGCCCCCACCGCCAGCGCCGTTGGCGACCTTGAGCTGCTTCCTGAGGTCCTGGAGCTCACGCTGCGCTTGTGCCAGCTGCAGCGAGCGGGGACCCTCCCGCCCATGGCGGGGCTATGCCGCTCGCCGCCGCAGGTTGCCGCACCGACATGCCACGCGGGGTCAGCGGCATGTTCGCCCCGAAGCACGCGTGCCTGGGCAGCCTGCAAGCCTGACACTTGAGCGCCGTCCCTCAGCTGACCACCGCACGCCCGCGCTTGCTGACGCAGGTCTTGCAGGTCCAGTCCTTGCGCACGGCACCCGTGGCGCGCGGCCCACCGCCCGCAATCTCGTGGCCCAGGGGTGGGCCGAAACGAGATTATGGAATCGGGCGGCAGCTCGCCCCTGTGGATGCTGCTGTAGCACGGACACACTGGATGGGAGCTTACCCCACTGAGGCAGTGACGGATGCGCCATTTGGCCCTTGAGCCAACATGGCTACGGAAAGGAGGAGGAGGAGGAAAAGAAGGAGCAGGAGCAGGAGCAGGAGCAGGAGGAGGAGGAGGAGGAGGAGGAGGGATGCGAGGGAGGAGGAGTGTGAGGGAGGCGGAAGTGGAGGAGGAGGAGGAGGAGGAAGAGGAGGAGGTGGAGGCACTCGCCACTGGACCTGCTCTTGCTGCGGCTGTTGACGGCAGGGGGGAGGGGGAGGGAGGTGAGATGAGGCCAGGGGGGAGGGGGGCGGCAGGGCAGCGCGGGAGGGGGGACGATGTGGCGGGAGTCGAGGCGGAAGCACCTGCACACGTTTTTTTCGTAAGCGGCAAGGCGGCGAGATCCGCACCGGCCTAGCAGACACCTGCACACGCATGCAAATGCACTGTCGGATCTCCTGGATCGGCGCGGAGATCGCTTGGATCGGCGCTGGGTCCCGTGGCGGCGCCTCCAGCGCCGTCGTCCGGCGCCGACCACAGAAATCCCCACGGGCCTCCGAAGGTTTATGCTGACCTCGTTTTGTGTTCCCCCTCTCCAGGGGAGAGGGGGGGGGCTTTGGTCGCCTCGCGCGCCGAGGACGCCGAACGACACAGCGAGCTGAGTGCGGGACGCGCCCGCGGCGACCACCACGCGCGAGAGCCGCGGCTCGTGCGACGCCTCTGGTCACGTTCCGCCGCCGTCCTCCGCCCTCCACCTGCGAATAACACAAGAAAGATGCATGCACCCAGACTTTCGGAGCAGTTGTTTGTTCCCCTGCACCTCCACCTCCCGCTCCTCTCGCAGGGGCAACGTTCAGGGAGGATTCTCGAGGTGTGCGGTTTTCGGACGGTTCCGTCGGTTTTTGGCGGCTTTCCAGCCCCGAGATGCTCTCCAGCAGGTGCGCCTCACCGAGAGAGTTCCAGGGGTGCCCAGATCGTCCCGAACGGCCGCCGGAGAGCCAAGTCATGCTGCGAAAGCCAGCGGGCAACGATGTGGAGGGCTGCTCAGGAGGTGGCACATCGACCCTCCATCGTCCATTGATCGCCGGTAGGGGTCTCACAGCCCACCCTGTCCAGGAGCGTGCGGTCTTGCTGTCGAGGGAATGTCGCCGATCTATCGGCGATGAACCGCCGATTCCAGGTCGACGTTTCCCCCCCTGAGCTGGCCCTCCCCTCACGCTCCCCCTCACTGGTTTTCAGCCGCGCCGCCAGGCGATGGCATCAGGAAGAGTTCCAGCGCCGATCCGAGAAATCCGCGTGGACCTCCGAGTTTTCATGTTTATGTCATTCTTCGTTCCCCTGGTATGGGCACTCTCTGCCACCACTGCGTGCATCACGCCCCTTTGCAGCCTCCATGCGCCATGCATCGGCATCACCCAAACGTCGGGGGCGGCCTACCCGACCCCTAGCAAAACCATCCCCTTCCGTGGCGTCCCCCTGGCCTCGCCCCAACACGAGTGTATGCGGCCGGAGGGCAGCTCGAGAGGCGAGGATGGCGTCACGGCTGGGGGATGGTTTGCTAGGGGTCGGCTAGGCCGCGCCCGAAAACATACTCATACTAAGTTCAGGAGGGGAAAAAACACACAGACACAATTAACCGTCGACTCCCGGGAAAGTATGGGAAAAGATGTGAGGTTGGGGGGAAACAAAACCCAAGAAAATATGGGAAAAGATGGGGAATATTTTCATTTGTGTGCATTTATCTGCGTGTCCTGGGGCCCCTTCAGCTAAGCGTGCGTCGCCCCCCCCCTCCCCCCCCGAGGGCCCAGGGCGACGCGCGCGCTCTCTCGGAAGAAGAAGCCATATGCTTTTCGTCAGGGTATCCTGGGTTTCGTCGCTCCGCGCGCTTCGCGGCGACTTCCCGCGGCCGTTGAAGGAGCTGCTGCGTTCAGGGTTCTCCGGGTTTCCCCTCTGGTGCTTTTCGCGCACGGGTTCTCAGGGTTGGGTTTCTTGCGAGGGTTTCTTGCGGCCGCGCCCGCCCTGTAGTCGAACAAATAGTCAGGGGACGATGCTTCGACTGTGTTTTGACTATTTTTGAGTGGTGTTTGACTCTTTTTGATTTCTCCTCCAGCGTCCGCCTGCAGGAGGACATGCCCGACCTGAGACATCGACATACTATGATACGTGTGTGCTATGTGTTCGATTCAAACGTGTACCTCCAAAACAAATGCAGTATTCAAGAGGCTTACACCACTTTGCCGACCCTCAGAGAAAAGCCGAAGTCCACGGGTGAGCCATTTTGGGGCCGTTGTGATTGATGGGAGGTCCCTCGAAGGGCCCTGGTTTGTGCTACATGTTCGATTCGGACCTACACCTCCAAGGTGGGCGCATAGTACTAGTATTGCTTTCTTCGGCAGCGAGTTTGGGGGGAAGTGAGAAGACACGGGCCTTCTCAGAAGGCTCGGAGGTCCCCCAGCCTTACGAGAAGTTTTTTGAGCCTTCCCCGAAAACGAAGACGACCTCTCAGAAGGCGCGAGGGCTTCTGGGAAGCACCGCCGCATTCTGAGAAGGCCTGCTCCCCAGAGATCCAATGCCTTAGTTTTTCAATACGGGGTCCCCAGAAGTCTCGCCCCACTCCCAGGGACCAGTTGTTCTTCCCGAGTCGTTCTTTGACGGTCCCAGGGCTCGCCGAGGGCCTTGAGAGGCCGAGCATAGGGGAAGTTGTTCGCCTTGATTTTTGTTTTTACGCGTTGGATCTCCTGCTCCTTTTCACCTCTCCCCCTCGCTCGCTGCAGGATTCGGTTTGGGGTCATAACTCGGGTCTCCGGCGGCCGTTCGGGACGACCCCGGCACCCCCGGAGCGCCGGAACGCCCGCGGCGAGGCGCACTTGCTGGCAAGCATCCCGAGGCCGGACAACCGCCGAGAACCGACGGACACGTCCGAAAACCTCTGGAGACCTTCGCAGACCTCCAGGGGCTTCAGCTTGAGACCTCCAGGGGCTTCAGCTTGGACCTCTGGGGATCTGCCTGCGGTTATCGCGTCCGATGCAGACACTTGCCTGCAGGGCACCTTGGCGGGCTTTTGCATTATGCGTCAGTAGTGCCACGCAGCACGATGGGGGGCCAAACCTCGAACCTCGAACCCGAAAGTTCCCCCCCTCGATGAGGGGGCCCGTCTTGGCGGCGAGTGAGGGGCCTCGCGGCCTCAAGGCGGGCGCGCGCGGCGGCCCCGCTCGCCCCGCGCGGCTCTTCCGCGCTGCCCAGCCTCCCCTTCAGCGGGGGCTCACACACACACAAACACACACACACAACCGCGCGCGCGCACGCACGCGCGC